GGGGTCTTTTCTGCACACAGAAAATTATGTTACTTTCCACTCTACTTTATTTAAATACATATGCTATAATGTTTTCCCTGTTTCCCTAAAACCAAATAATTAACTGATAACAGAAGAGCCATCTGTATCATGGAGCAGAAGGTTAAATTACAAGATGCAATGAATGCCAACGCAGGTAAGTGCTAAAGCAGTGACAAAACAAACTCCCAACAGGGGCTGCCCATAAAATGTGCCACACTGTGAAACCAAATGCTCTACCAGCTGAGCTGCTTTACTCAAGCAGCTGCTAGGTTTAGGACCTGGAGAATATAAACTTTTTTTTGGAGGAAATTCCTAAAAGAAGAAAAGTATAATTTTAAATTAGATAAATGAATAGATAATTAACATACTGCATATATTCTGGTCATGCCCAATAAGAAGATATTTCTGGATAGCAGTATTAATGGAAACTGAGAGTATAACAGGTTATGCCTTAGCAGTAAACCCACTTTTAAGATACATAAAAGATACTGTCCTTTCAGAAGATGGAAAAATGATAAAGTACCTATTAACTGAAGTTTAGGTTGCATACACACCATTTGTTTAAGGCACATGAGCTCCACCAAATAATCAAGGCAATGGTAGTTTGTTAAGGGTGCTAGGAATTGTAGCGCAGGGCAGGATAAAACTACAGTTCCCAGGATTCTTTGGGGAAAGTCGTGGTTTTAAATGTATGGTGTATGCATAGCCTTAGTTACAACTGGAGGGAAACTGATGCTCCTACACTAGATGCATGTTGGAACAAAAGATCTTAATTTCACATACAACCTCATAGGGTCTGAATTGGAGGGAAAGGACCAGGAGCAAGACCTTAAGGTCATATTAGATAGCTCAATGAAGATGTCAACCCAGTGTGCAGTGGCCATAAAGAAGGCAAATTCCATGCTAGGGGTCATTAGGAAAGGAATTGAAAAATGAAACTGCCAATATCATGAATGCTGCTATACATATTGATCAGGCTTCCTCAAACTTGGCCCTCCAGATGTTTTTGGCCTACAACTCCCATGATCCCTAGCTAGCAGGACCAGTGGTCAGGGATGATGGGAATAGTAGTCTCAAAACATCTGGAGAGCCAAGGTTGAGGAAGCCTGATATTGATGGTGCAACCACATCTGTACACAATGAGTACCATGTACAGTTCTGGTTGCCTCATGTCAAAAAGGATATTGAAGAGCTGGAAAGGGTTTAGAAAAGTATGCATGGCATGGAGAAAGTGAAGAGAGAAAAGCTTTTCTCCCTCTCTCATAACGCTAGAACTCAGGGACATCCAGTGAAGCTGGATATTGGAAGATTTAGGACAGATAAAAGAAAGTACTTCAAGCAGCGCATTGTCAAATCACTCCCCCAGGAGGCAGTGAAGGCCACCAACTTGGGTGGCTTTAATAGAGGACTGGACGAATTCATGGAAGAGAGAGCTATTAAGGGCTACAAGCCATGAGAATGCTCTGCCTCCACAACTGGAGGCAGCAATGCTTCTGAGTACTAGTTGCTGGAAACCACAAGAGAGGAGAGTGCTGGTGTGCTCATGTTCTGCTCCCTGGTTCCCCACAGGCATCTGGTTGGCCACTGTGAAAACAGGATGCTGAACCAGATGGGCCATTGGCCCAGTCCAGCAGGCTATTCTAATGTTCTTATGATGTTCATGATGGCTGGATTAGAAGAGTATGGGAAGTGGTCAAAATGGTGATACAGTGGTACCTCTGGTTAAGTACTTAATTCGTTCCGGAGGTCCCTTCTTAACCTGAAACTGTTCTTATCCTGAAGCACCACTTTAGCTAATGGGGCCTCCCACTGCTGCCGTGCGATTTCTGTTCTCATCCTGAAGCAAAGTACTTAACCCAAATAACTATTTCTGGGTTAGCGGAGTCTGTAACCTGAAGTGTATGTAACCTGAGGCGTATGTAACCCGAGGTACCACTGTATCGGCAAACATCAGTATAAGAGAAGAAAGACAATCAGATAACCAATTTATTGAAAGATGTAGCCCCTTTATTATACTGGTGCAATAAAACACAGGAAAATCCAGATCCATATAAACTGTAAAAGCACCATATATTAAAAAGCATGGGAGAGGGAAGAGACGTAAAACAGGTTATACAGTGGTACCTCAGGTTACATACGCTTCAGGTTGCAGACTCCGCTAACCCAGAAATATTACCTCAGGTTAAGAACTTTGCTTCAGGATGAGAACAGAAATCGTGCTCCGGCGGCGCGGCGGCAGCGGGAGGCCCCATTAGCTGAAGTGGTGCTTCAGGTTAAGAACAGTTTCAGGGTAAGAACGGACCTCCGGAAAAAATTAAGTACTTAACCCGAGGTACCACTGTAACTTTATTTCTCACTGTAAAAAGATATATGTTGTATGATACAATGTGTTTTGTAATACTGTATACTTTTTATTTGTTTATTGGTTAAATTTTGGGGCCCTCAGGGGCTTGAGGGCTGATTCTAAATAAGTATACAATATAAGGACAGATTTAAACTATTGATTTTTGTCCTTTGACACCTAAACATTGAACAGTAAAATTACAGAACGACCCTCTGGAAATGTTTCTCTCCCAAACACAGAAAGCACTACACATTCTTATCTAGCATAATTTGAATGTGCAAGCAATACTTACCATCAGCTACCTTCTTTGCTTTTTCCTTCTGTTCCTCTGAAGGTGACCCCTTTCCTTCTTCTGAATGTTCATTCTGGCCTGCAAAGCAAAATCATAAAGTATGGTGGATCTTCCAATTGGAAGTAGTGATTGGGGCAAACTGAAATGTAAATTTCTCATGCAAGTTGGCAGAATCATGCCATGCTTGCTTCATCTGTTGCAGCAGTTTTTATGTTATTGCAGTTTTATAAGAGTATATATTTAAAGTAGATGAATAAATAAGCAAATTAAGTTAATTTGAATATGCAGAAGATATCAAAAATATATCAGGAACAACAGAAAGAGGGGGAAGGAAGTCAAGTTTTGAAATGTTAAAATGATTGTAAAATTAGTGAAATGTGTAAACTTGAAAAGCATAAATAAAATTTAAAATAAAATAAAATGTATTTTATTGGAGACTCCTATCCCGGTTTCTTCTTCTGTCCTGGACTTCTGCATTTTCTTACCTTACAGCCTGTAGAGGGGAAGAATATTTGAAAGTTCTCTAAAACAAGAACAGAGCTGCTTCAAGCAGCAGCGTTTCTACATGAGAGGAAACTCGAAAGCTCACAGCTGCTGGCAATAATGGATTGAAACCAGAAAGCGGCGTGAGGAAGCTTTCCTGTAAATTCACCAGAACACTTCTTCAACCTGGATGATGCTTTGCAAAAACGAGGGGGGATGAAGGGGCATATTGAAATTGCAGTCTGGTAACACCCCACCCCCGCGCACCCCACACCCTTCGGTGTCCAGCTTGAAGAACCCTGGTGACCCCGAAAGCTCGCGCACGACTTCGTGGCGCTTCAGTTTCGCCCTATAAAGGTATTTTCCCGACTGTTTCTTTAAAGTGTGCCATACTAGTGGAGTGTTGCCAACGTTACTGAGAGCAAGGGGTAGTTTCGAGGGGAACCCCATGCTGGCAAGTCTGGGTAATGGCGGGAAATGGAGAGGGGCGGGAATGGGGGTACCTTTTGCGTCTTTCGCCTCCTGCTCCCCCTTCGGCTCCATGGCAGGTGTACGCCGGTTGCTAAGCAACCGAATGAAAGGCGCGCCAAGATCCCTGGGAAGTTGAGTTCAAGACCTGCTTCGGCTCAGAGCGCCTGCGCAGCAGCAGCATAGTAAGAAGTAACATCGATGAGCAGCTTGCTCTTTTTCTCCCCTCCCCCGTCCGATTACTCTAATATAATAATATACGCTGCTGTGCACAATGGAGACAAAGCTACAAATATTTAAGGAATTCCAGGGGGAAGGAAATATTTATTTACTTTAGTCGCTGCCATTTGCAAATGTATATAACGGGTAACATCGGTTTCTCTCCGTGCGTGTGAAATCGGGGGGTCCTATTGAGTTCAATGGGCTGCCTCCCAAGTGTGCCCGCTTCATTTAAAATAATGAGGATCGCGCCTTTAATAACTGCATTAACAGGGCAAAGGGGTTTTTCTTCCTGGAAAGGGGGGGGGGAGAGAGAGAGCCTTCCTTGCTAACTTTTAATTGTTACAATGCCTGCCAACATTTTTCTGGCAGGTTTTCTGTCTGCCGAGCAGAAATTCTGCCGGTGTGGCTACAGCGAGGGAAAAAGACGGCACCTGCTGAATTTCCTCTGCGGGGATCTTCCAGGAGGAGCAGAGAAATATCCCTGTTATGTGGTTGCCAAATGAGTGCCCGTCCACAGCTCTCCATTTTCTAATACCTATTTTGTTTTATTGGTGGGACGGCCGCATTGATCCAGAGGAGCTAATATCTGCCGGATCCTATATAGAATTAGGTTCCCTAAAATCTACATAGGATCGCACTGTTGCAACGCACTATGTGCCTGCTTAGATCTGACCCCAATATAATTTAATAGTCTTTTACGTTTTACTACATGTTTGGGGGGGGTTATTGTTTCGTTTTGCTCTTGCTCTTGTTTTTATTACGTATTTTGTGTGTTTCTATCTTGTATTTCTAATGCTGTCAACCCGCCTGAGATCTTCGGATGAAGGGCGGAACACTAGTTTAATGGACGATAATAATAAAGATGGTGTTAACGACGCTTGAGCAATGCAGCCCACTGATTTTAATGAACTTGGGCGCACCTAAAGCTGTACAGGATCGGGCTGCGCACACAGGCAAAACCGCTCATTCATTCATTCATTAAAAAACTTGTTAAGGTAAGCCTTTCTGAACATAGAAGAACTTCCCTCAGAGATTAAACTGCCAGGGGTCATCTGGCTTGTACAAACGAAGTTTCTTCTTCGCTCTGAACTCGGAGAAATAAAAACGAGAGGAGAGGCCTGGCAGGTAGCGAGGCGGGAGGCGGAACCCGTCCTTCCTTGCAGGGGGAGAGGCGAAGCACCTGCCGGAATGCGCCTTAGGGCGCAGCTGGAGGAAATGGGAAAGCGCTCCAGCAACAGGTGCCGGGGGAGATCAAGCCGAGGGAGGAAGGGAGTTGCTTGCATCGGCTCGCTCCTTTCCAGATAATACTAACAATAACAATAATCGTAAAAGGCGAGGCTTCCCTTCTCAAGCGGAAAAGCAAGGCCAACACCTCCCTGAGTTAGGAGTAGAGGGTGAGGTTTGTTTGCGCAGAGGGATCCGGCCGGTGGGCGGAGGAGGCGGCGCCATGGCCTGGAGCTGGCGATGGCAACACCTAGGGCTCTTTCTCGGCCTCAGCTGGCTCCCGACAGGTGAGTCGTGGGGGCGGCGGGGACCCGAGCTGGAAGGGGAAAAGGAGCTGCCTCCCGATCTCCGTGATCTTTCGTCTTTTCCTTGCTGGCGGCGACTGGTTTTAGTAGGCGATTGTCTCCTAAAGTTTCCTCCCGCCCGATTCCTTCCTGCTCCTTCGCTTGTTTACAGTACTTTCCTCAAAGGCAGGTCTCCGGGCTAATCAGGCATGTTTTAAGTCTCTCCATATTGTTTTATCTTCTTGGTCCCAGGGAGGAGAAGTTGTAAAATTGCCCAGTATATATATATGTGTGTGTGTGTGTGTGTGTGTGTGTGTGTGTCCCCTTTTAAAATCGTATTTGCTGTAGTTGTAAACTTACATACATACAGAGTGGATACATATGTAAATAACTTTTGTCCTCCACAACAATACAAGTAAGAAAGGGTAGAAATCTATGTACTAGCTAGCATTTGGTGTAAACAGTTTAGCCACAATTCTATTTACTGTACATATGTGTAAGCATGTGAAACGTTCACTGGTTTATCTCCCCATTGCCCTCCTAGATATTAGGTGCAGCATACTTTAAATAAGATGTTGATTATTATCAATAGGACTGTAGCTCGGCTGCTTTGGAGGAAAATGCATGTACAGTGCAATGTGTAATGGCAATGAATTAGACTAGATGGAAGTATGCCTTATTGGTTTCAGTAAGGTTTACTTCCTGGTAAGTATAATTAGAACTGCAATCTAAATATATTTCTCGTCTCTATAATTCGAATGTAAATTATATTTTTAAACAAGTGTCTTCACATTCTGTCCTGTATTAACAGTTCTCACTTGAACACACACAATAGAAGTTACAGCCATGCAGCCAAAGATAGGTTGAGCCCGGCCCTAGTTTAATTTATTCCCAAGGAAATACATTCAGGATTGCAGTAATAATGTCACAGTCACAAAAATAACCAGTATGTGCACTTCTTAAGCCCCTGGCCATTCATTCTTGTATAGGCATTTCATTCCAACTAGGTGCTGTCAAGTGTGTTTGAGTAATTCTATCTAACACAGTGTTTATATTATGTTATCTCAAGTACTGTTGATATCTTTGGTATTGTTAATGCCTTGAATACTTTTCTAGTGTTATCGTGTATACCTATGATAGGGAAAAACACAGGAGTCTGGCTAACCTAATGTGTATTTAAAAGCTGTTTAATAGTATTAAATAGTATAGTGATAGTATTATATTAAATTGTATTTGGCTATAATTGAGATTTTTTTTATAGATTTAACAACAAGCCTTCTCTCTTTTCCGCTTATTTCCTTCTTGGTTATGTTTTGTCTAATGCTGTATATTGTTTTCTTGATAAACTATTCTACTTTTCATAGACTGTTAGCTGTCCCAAAAACATTTATGTTGATAGTGTGGAATTAATAGTATATACCGTATTTTTTGCTCTATAAGACTCACTTTTTCCCTCCTAAAAAGTAAGGGGAAATGTGTGTGCGTCTTATGGAGCGAATGCAGGCTGCACAGCTATCCCAGAAGCCAGAACAGCAAGAGGGATTGCTGCTTTCACTGTGCAGCGATCCCTCTTGCTGTTCTGGCTTCTGAGATTCAGAATATTTTTTTTTCTTGTTTTCCTCCTCCAAAAATTAGGTGTGTCTTGTGTTCTGGTCTTATAGAGCGAAAAATATGGTATCTTATTTTTGTGGCAAAACCTACACACAAGCCTGCAACCTCCCTATTGCATGAGTCAGAAAAAAATATTTGTACTCTGTTAAATTCAAAGTGCTAGAGAAGTCTCAACCCTGATTTACCTATTACAATGGAATCATGTGTGTCAACTCACAAGTAAGAGCCATTAAATTCAATGAGTCTTGCTCCCAGTGATAGGATTTCAGCCCAACGTATGAGTGGGGGCAGGCTATTTTACACATATTTGATACACATATTAGCACAGTTGCTCAAGGCATGTTTTTATACACCACTGCAAACCACTGCTCTGCATTTAGGGAAAAGGCCTTTCTGGAACACTGAAGACTGGAGTCAGAGGTGCGTGTTTAATAGTATATTTTAATTATTGTAACCCACCCTGGGACCTTAGAGTGAAGATTGGAGGAAGAAATTAATAGTAAAGCTCTGTTTTGCAAGGGCTAACGTACAGGCCCCAAAACTAGCATGTTTTCAAAAATATACAGGTGCACATCATGTGTAACCTAGGGATATAGCCCAGGTAGTAGAATGCCCTTGCAAGATACAATGGTACCTTGGTTTTTTTAACGTCTCCGTTGATGAACATTTCGGTTTCCAAACTCCTTAAATCCGGAAGTAAATGCTTCGGTTTTTGAACACGCCTCGGAAGTCGAACATGCCATGCGGCTTCCGCTGAGTGCAAGATCCTGAGGCCTAGCTATCGGCTATTGAGTTTTTGGTTTTCGAACGTTTCAGAACTTGAATGGTCTTCCAGAATGGTTTTTGTTCAAAAACCAAGGTACCACTGTACTTGGAAGCAAGCAATAGATACAAGACCAGAGCTCTTCCAGAAAATGAGTTATTGAAAAAGTTGAACAAAAAGTAGTGAGGGCTGTTCCAAAAAAGAGATTGGGGATTGTTAGTACCAGGGTAAAATCCAAAAAGGTGGTAGAAAAGGGAAAGTTTACTTTGACATGGCAAACTTTACTGAGTGGACATGCTGGAAATGGCATGTGAGAAAGGCATAAGAGATGCAAGAAGGACACAGGGCTGTAGCTCAGTGGTAGAATGTCAACTTGGCATGCCAAAAATCCCAGGTTCAAACCTCAGCTTCTCTAGATAGGGCTGGGAGAGACTCCTGCCTGAAACCCTGGAAAACTACAGCCGGTCAGTGTAGACAGTACAGAGCTAGCTGGACCAATGATCTGACTCCGTATAAAGCAGCTTCCTTAATGAGTACCTAACTGGGAGCCCAGCAGCCAACCAGCCTGCAAGATCTCCTGACAGAAATCCAGAAAACCCATGGGAAACTCCCAGAAGAAAAGGCTTGCTTAGTTTAGGGTGTGTAAAACATCTAATGCATGGGTAGGCAAGCTAAGGCATCTGGCCTAATTGCCTTCTCAATCCGGCCCACGGACGGTCTGGGAATCAGCGTGTTTTTCCATGAGTAGAATGTGTCCTTTTATTTAAAATGCATCTCTGGGTTATTTGTGGGGCATAGGAATTCGTTCATCCCTCTCCCCCCCCCAAAAAAAATATAGTCCAGCCCCCCACAAGGTCTGAGGGACAGTGGACCGGCCCCCTGCTGAAAAAGTTTGCTGACCCCTGATCTAATGGATTAGCAAACAAAGACTCACAAAAGGGTGTGCTGGTTTGGGTTGGGTCTTTGAATGGATTGTTTCCAGGTGAACAAAAGAAATGTGACCACCATTTCCTGCTTGGCGAAAGGAAAATGAGTTTCAGAGTAGAGTTGTAGCGCAGACTGTAGATTTCTTTGTTAATTGTTTAATAGTATACTTCTCGTGGAGACTCTGAAGGCTCGCGTACACTTCTGCTTGTCAAGTGCTCAGAAAGCATGAGTCCAAGCAGTTTTCTGTTTGCCCTGCTGCTTTCTCAGGGAAAACCCCACTCCTTAGCACTGAAACACAGCTATCTGCGGAAAACCAAATTGACCTTCAGCAGTAAAGAGCGCGTTTTCCTAGGTGAAAGCGGAACTCTGGATTAGTCCTCACTCTCAGGGTTTTCATTAGCCAATGGATTGGCGATGTAACATTTCTTTGATTGAAAACAGACCATTATATGAGGGTTGCAGGTGCTCCCTTTTAGTTTCACTGGGGGTGTTGGTGGGAACTTTCGTGTACATTTTGTCCTAATTTGCTAGATCTTTTCAGATTACTCTCCCAGGCAAAATTGAGACTTTTAAGGCACAGCGCTCATATAGTCACATCAAGTGTGACTGAAACAATCAGTTTCCTGTAGGTTGGATATGGATCTTCTCTGTTATAGCAGGGAGTATAAGTTCCAAACATAGATTTCCCACAGACTGGCCAACCTGAAGGACTCACATTCCCCATTTGTGAAACTATTACGCCTCCCCTACCCTTATTGTGAGAGATTACAAGGCCTGCCCTCATCCCAACTTCTAGGACATCCTGAATAAAGCTGTCGTTTACACAGTTTCTTCCCCATGACATTTCTTCATCTATCTTACACTTGCTCCTGCTGCTGGTAAATTCAAAGTTTATGGCACTGCTGTCTTCCAAAGCACTATCAAATCCAGAACTAGGAAGAAGTAAGTCCTGTGGGAACAGACCAGACGCAAACTGTAGAATATGTCTGCACAGTCACACAAGTAATGAACCAGTCCTTTAAAAAACTTTATGTAACTTAATTTTTTATTTATTTTTTTACTAAATCTCTGTATACTTAAGTTTGCTGTCTGCACTGGTAGATTTTTCCCCCCCCTGGGGCATAGGGGTGCTTTTCATATGCTTACTGATAGCCGTTGTTCATGTTCTTCATTGCAGGTTGCTTCTCCATCCTGGTGACTGTGCCAGTTGCTGAGCGATACACAACTTTATTTGCCTCTGTGACGCTCAGGTGTGACTACAGTACCTCTGCCCCACTGCAGGATGTGCTAGTTACCTGGCGCTATAAGTCCTTTTGCAAGGATCCCATCCTTGACTACTACAGTGTTGGTGAGTGCCACTGATTCTCGCGGCCACCACCAAGGATTGCTCTCCACACACATGAGAAGAGGCAGGAGGGAGAGAGGGAGCCCCAGGGAAGATAGTTGTTTGACTTGTTATTCTCCAGAGCCAAATAATGGAGAAGTTGATCTCTTCGGTCTCGGAACCAAAGTGGATGGAGTGATAGCTAGAAGATGCTGCGTTAGGAAATGACTGCTTGTGCTTTCACTTTTAAGACACTGTGTTATCTTTGGAATGCATGAAACCCTAGAGGGCTCTGTGATTTTAGGAAAGGGAGCCTTTCACTTTCAGTCATGCTCTCCTTTGGCTCTAGCACTTTCAATTCAAAAGGAAAAATCTGAAGTTTAAGACTAATTTCTCCTCTAATACTGAGCTCAAACCAGAGAGTGCCGACAAATTCAGGAAGAGGATTGAGACTTGTGTTGCACTGTGCTTTGGCCTGTAGTCTGACATGGATGAACCCCAGCCCACCTTCTAAGTTGGGGGGCAGGGAGGGAGTGTCTTTAACCTCACACCCTATTTTCAGAGGCACCCTAGAGCCAATCTGGAACTTGTTGCGATATTGGAGAAGGGATTATATCTCACATTGAATGAGGAGCAAAGGTCCCTACAGTCAAAAATGCTGGCAGGCTATCAAGGCTAGCCAAAAGTTGTGAGCCTTTTACCCATCTTCCTTCAGTCTGGATAGGCTTAGTGAGATGCTCAGGGTTCTTGCAGTTTGAACCATGAATTATAGCTTTCACTATTGTAAAATTAGATTAAAAGTATTGGGTTTCCAAAGCATTGTTTGGGTTATCTGTATGGTCTAATGTCCACCAATTTTTTCTTCCCTCTTTGTGCCAAATCATGATAGCTTATCCTTGATTCAGACTGTGAATGATGGGCTTGCCAACTTTTTCAAATATATCCCAAAGTCTCATCCCACATTGTTTCCCCATATGCCCAGCAAAGTTTGCAGTTCATATAGCATCAGAGCTTGCTGTCTCCGGAAGTTAATTGACTCTTTGGTAATTGCTCCTCTCTACCTTTCTCTATCTTTCCTCACTGGAATTTTAAGGAGCGCTTTTATGAATTTAATACTTTGGATTTAAATAAACTGGCATTCATTTTGTAATTCATCCCCTTTGTTTCTTGCAGCCTATCAAGCAGGCCTAGCTATTGGCCAGGACCCTTCCAACGACTGCAATGACAATCAGCGGGAAATACGCATTGTTGCTCAGAGAAGAGGGCAAAATGAACCTGTGCTTGGTGTTGATTACAGACAGCGGAGGATAACCATTCAGAACAGTAAGACCATTTGAGCAGGGACTGGGAAACTGTGGCCTGTGGCCTCATTAGTACTAAGGAAACACAGCCTTAAGCAGCACAAAGTAATTGTACCTTATGGAGGTGTAAATGACTCGGAATGTAGTTTCAGCTCTCCAAAAGTCTGTTTGCACAATAATTTTTGCAATTCAGGGATGTGCTGTCATGGTATGAGAAGAATATCACCCACTTGCCTACTTTCGCCATGCTGTGTTTTTTCTTCATAGAAGCAGATCTCCTGATCAATGAAGTGATGTGGTGGGACCATGGAGTCTACTACTGTAATGTTGAAGCTCCAGGAGATACAAGCGGGGACCCAGACATAGAGGTCAAGCTCATTGTTCTCAGTACGTAGCACTGTTCTATTTTTTAAATTTTATTTTAGGGTGACCTCTTCATTTTTTTTCTTACCATTTATGAAGTTTTAGAGAACAAAGCATGGAGAAAAATTTGCCATGCTGTGATCCTAAAGATGTTTACTTCCAGGGTTATCGCTTATTTCAATCCACATTTTAAAAGGGGAGAAGAAGACACCAGCAATTCCTGATCTTGTGTTGCTGGAATGGAGCCTACTGTACAAAGACAAGAGCCGTATCTCTTGCCTCTGGCCCTTCCGAGCACTGGCATTCAGTTCTCAAAAGGCTGCCCTCAAAAGGCTACCGCAAGATAGGAGGACATTATTTCTGTATGCAAACGCTGCAGCAAGGATCCTCCTTGCAAAAATCTGGAAGGGAAATTACAGTGGATGCTTGGGTTGCGAACATGATCCATGCGGGATGCACGTTCGTAACCCGCGTCTGCGCACGCGGGGGTTGCGATTCGGTGCTTCTGCGCATGCGCAATGCGTGATTTAGCCCTTCTGCGCATGCACTACCGCGAAACCCGGAAGTAACCCATTCTGGTACTTCTGGGTTTCGGCGGTCCGCAACCCAAAAAAACACAACCTGAAGCGGCTGTAACCTGAGGTATGACTGTACATACCAACAAAGGAAGATTGGCTAAACAAGCTTTTAGAATTTATTGAATTGGCAAAACTAATCACAGTAATAAGATATTAAACAAACCAGAAATTAAGATCAGAATGGAAATGGTTTGAAGAATATATGAGCAAACACTGTGCTAAAGACAGCATGCTGATATGTCTAGATTAAGTTGGTGAAGTTGATTCAGAAAACAAAATATTAGTTAAATAACAATACTAAAAATGAGTTACAAATTGCCATATAAATAAGAATATAATAAACATAAGAAATGACAAACACTGGTGGAGGGAAGTCACGTAGGTGTAACATTTATGTTTGTATTTTTGTATTGTTGGTACAGTGGTACCTCGGGTTAAGTACTTAATTCGTTCTGGAGGTCCATTCTTAACCTGAAACTGTCCTTAACCTGAAGCACCACTTCAGCTAATGGGGCCTCCTGCTGCTGCTGCACCACCGGAGCACGATTTCGGTTCTCATCCTGAAGCAAAGTTCTTAACCTGAGGTACTATTTCTAGGTTAGCGGAGTCTGTAACCTGAAGCGTATGTAACCCGAGGTACCACTGTATTTGAATGGTTGTAGCTTTAATGTGTGTGCATTGTATATAATAATTTTTTTAAAAAAAGGCTGCCCATTATGCAACGAGCCCTTGGACTGGGTTTCTCTACCCCTGGAATAAACAAACAGTTTTTGTTGTTACGTCTGAATGCAGCACTCTGTGTGAACGCCATGTCTGTTTTGGATGAGCTATCTTGTGAGGGAAGATTGCAGAAAGCTTCCTTTTTGGTGCAGGAAGCTCACCATACAGGCATCTAGTAACAAGAAAAGCAAGGTGATGGGGGATGATAATAGATTTGAATGTCCTCTTTCCCCCACCAGATTGGCTGACTGTCGTCCTTATTGTCCTTGGTGGCCTCCTCCTCCTCCTGCTGATAGGGGTGTGCTGGTGCCAGTGTTGCCCTCAGCATTGCTGCTGCCATGTGCGCTGTGCCTGCTGCCCAACTCGCTGCTGCTGCAATGAGAAAGGTAAATCGGGAAGCAGGCTGCCTGCCCCTTGCATTTGTTCCCAGGGAAACAATAACAACAAAACAGGTGTATTAATTCCAAAGATGTTTTCAACGACAAGCAAGCCACTTGGACGTCCTCTGTGGGATTTGGGGTGGTCGTGGATGGGAAATACTGCTCAGGTGGAAACCTGACTGCGTGTTATCCAAAATGTACACAAATAGGAGGGCCTTCATAGTTTCCTCCAGGTAGTTCAAGGTCATATTTTATCCTCACACCAAGCCTGTGAAGTAGATTAGAATAAGAGACCACGATTAGCCTAAGGTCACCCAGTGAGCTTCATAGCTGCGTCAGGTTTTGAACCCTGGTCTCCCAGGCCCCTGCTATGAAATTCTAACCACTATGCCCCATTTCCATCCCTTTCTGCCATTTGCGTTTACTCTTCCAGCAATGTATAAATGCTCTCTTCATGGAACATGCCGAAGTAGACCATAATTTTTTGTTGAGGGCATTGTGTAGGACAGAATTTGCTAAACTTCAGGGGCCCATGGACACATTTGTGAACCAGAGAAACAGTCAGGAACACCTTGTGCATTTATTAAATTTATTTCCCACCTTTCAGCAGCACGACACGCACACATAAATATAACACAAACTACTCTATTGCCTACAATTTAATGCTCCTCTCGAGCCTAATTTCAGCAGGGGGAGTGGAGTCTGTGGGCGCCAGGGAAGTCCTCTGCCAGTGCTACATTGGCAAAGCCCCGGTGTGAAGGAATTCAGGATTGTACTTTCAACGTTAGAAAATTTAGTTTCTCCAGAGTAAATATCCGTCTGAAATCAAAACCACACCTTTGTTGTGGACAGACTGTATTGTTTCATGCCACCCCAGTCTTGGAGCGGTGCAAGATTCCAGGGGTTCAAGGCATTCTAAATCAAGCAAGGAGGAACCTTCCTGTCACTAATTTTGGCTTCCAGTATTGCTATTCTATAAAATGGAGAGAGAGAAAAAGATCTCCAGAGTGCTTGAGTGCACCTGTATAAGATCTATTGCTTTTTCTGTCCTCTAGTGCTGGAACGACATCAGTTCATGAAACAGGCTCAACAACTTTTCCCATGGATGACGCACCACTCCCAGTCATCTTCATATCAACTAAACCCATTGCTACAGAGAGGTAGGGCTGCGTCTACAAGTCCCAAGGGAGTGAATATATTACAGCAGTTTAATGACTTGGATGCTTGTGGTTTGGCTTGAAAGAGCTTCAGAGGCTACCAACCCAGCTGTTCAGAGGTGGTGAGGGTCAGGGCTGAGTTTATTTGTTACACTGGCAAGTGGAAGCATGTACTCTGGTATCTGTAAAGACTTTGCATCTTGTTTCCCATAGTGACAAGCCAGTTGTTTTGGAGAAAGCCCAACAAATGTTTCAGGGAAATCCACAACCAGGGGGTGAAGTTGTGTTTTTTTTTGGGGGGGGGTGTTTCTTTTTTCGTCCATCTGCAAACCTTGAAGTTTCCCAGGCCTACCAGTTCCTCTCTTTTTGTACATGAATGGAGCAGCCCTGGGCTCCATGAGGATCCACACTCACAGAATTAGATTTCTATTTGCATTTAAGAAAGATTGCCCCTCTGTGGATTTCTTTTTGTAATCCACTTTTAAAGCCATCTAAGCTATTTGCCATAATTACATCTTGTAGCATAGTGAACTCCATAGATTAATTATGCCCTGTGTGGTGATGTACTTTATGTCTTGGATCTACTGTCATCCAATTTCATTGGGTGATACACACACAAACACACAAACACACACACACACACCGAGAGAGAGACAACTTTTCTACCCTAGGCAAAATTTTACAAACTGAGTTGCTTTTGTTTTCTAAACTAAAATGCTCCAAACAATTACTGTTATTTATTAAATTTATATACAGCCCTTCACCCGAAGATCACAATGTAGCTTTTTCTCCTAAGGAAGGCTCTCTACTTGTTGATTCCTTTGCCTCCCATTTTTCTGCACTTTTTGAAGCTGTCTTTTTGGCAAAGGGGTGATCAAGGCAGGTACTTGCCAATGAGGTCACGCCCACTGTATATGCATTTGGAGCAGACAAAGTTTAAACAAATTGATCTGCTGCTACTACATCTAGTTTGAGTCTCTGTCTTAATGCTAAATTGGAAGCCTTTACTTCTGGGCTAGCAAATCTGTCCGCCTGTCCCCCTTCCCCCCCCCAAGATGCTGTTGTCCTCTAGCTCCCATCAGCCCAAGCAAGCATGGCCATTGGTTAGGGATGATTGAAGCTGTGGTCAAGCAGCATCTCGGAGGGACACAATTTCCCAGTCCCTCTTGACCTGGCTTTCTCTCATGGCAGGTGTCTATCTTCCCTCTACCCTCCTTCTGTTATCTAGATATGTCTCTGCAGAGCAGTCAGCCACGGATGCCTCCACTTACCCAGTTGCCCTCCAACAAGCTCTTGGAGCAGCTTGAGTCTGAGGTCAGGAACCTTGGCGTTTCCCAGCCCATGATACCTCCGCACCGCGTTGAGAGCAGTCGTCACCCTAGCATCCTCTCCTCTCTGGGCTCAGAGATCGTGGAACGCAGAGTGATCCAACTGCCTCCCATCATTGAGCGCATCCCATCCTCCCGCAGAACTAGTGGTTCATCACGACCACGGCGGTCGACATATGCCTCGCGACCCCGGAGCCAGGCGAGTGACGACGAGAGGGAGAGGAGGAGGAGGCGCTTGTCTTTGGATGAAGAAGACGATTCCTACTCCAGTTACGACCAGGAACTCCGGAACAGACCTAGAGACCGCATAGTCGAGAGGCAGAGAGCTGCCAGCCATTATGACAGGTCTCGGAGTTCTAGGCCAGACTTATCTCCCATTTTGCATGGTAGGAACAGTTCTGATTCGTATCCTGAGGAGGATAGAAGGGAGCGTTCCGCACGGCATCCCTCTGACAGAAGGTATTCAGGGCAGCGGGCTTATCGACCTCTCAGTCAGAGGAGCAGGGACTCTTATCACCAGGGCCGCCGGCGCCGCCATCGCAGCTGTTCTCCACCATCCCGCCGGGAGTCGTGGAGTTCATCTGATGAGTACGAGCGCTTCCAAGGGAACAGCAGGCGGCATCGCCAGCGCCGCTCTCCAGACTGGCCAGAGAAACCCCCTAGTTACCGCTCGGTAGAAATCATCCCAGCCAAAGGCGACAAAGCCAGAAGCCTTGCGGAGCAGCAATCGGTAAACTAAGTGTGACAAATATTCTCTTTCATAATCTCATGGGTTTGTAGCTTTGCACCCTGATGCAGGCTACTCTCTGGCAGAGGCTGAAGACAGGAACCATACAGAAAGGGATGCCCTGTGCATTTGCACAGGGCTGCTTTCTAAAACTCGTGCCCCTGTTCAAAGACACGTGAATAGGCTCAAGAGAAGCATGGTCAAGCTCATGGCTATTTCTGAGTGAGGCGAACCAGGCCCTACTTGCCTCTAGCCTACAAACGCTGCTTCTTTCCTTGCCTCAACAAGTTACCAGGACTGGGGCATGGCAGTGAGTAAGGAAGGGAGATAGTGGGGAGGTGCTCTGGGGTGCGGGCAGGGAAGCCATCAGGCTGAGAACAGAAGGTGACACATCTTTTAAGCCATTGGGGTGCTTTTTCCAGCTAATGGGTATGTGGGAGCATATATTCTAGCCCAAGAGCAAATAACAAAACAAAGCACTCCAGCCAAGAAGCTTCAGATTCTCTTCTTGGCCAGCATGTTGTTGCTATTCTGGTTTGGGGCATGGTTTGAGTTCTGGTTTCTAGTTTGAGTTCCATGCCCCCCGTGGTGGGGTTGGACTTGCTGGCTTTTTATTATTTTTCCAACCTGGCTGCCGCTTCTGCATTGCCTTCTTCTGCTGCTGCCCCAACCCTCCCTGGTAAGTTGCTGAGCCCTTGCAAAGAAGAGAAACAGCAGCTCTAAGTAAGACACACCCAAGCATTTACATGGAAGCACAGTTGTTGTTTTTGCAAGTGCTCACTTGGAGCACGTGCAAAAATGGAGCCCCCTTTTAAGGCAAACACTAGGAAAGCCTTTCATATCTTTAGAAAGGAAGCTCTCAGTGTTGTTTGTCTGCAGCATGCTAGTGAATCAAACATTGATATGGCCCGGTCCAGTTGATGGGAGTCAAAACTGCACATGGCTTGTCTCATGTAGTTCTCCTCCTAAGAGAAAAGTAGTGGTAGTTGCGGTTTTGACAAGTAGCAAGCAAGTGGGCAGGGGTAGGTGAAAATCTGGATTAGAAATGTGTAGCATTAGGGTCAGATCTGGTTCAGATACCTTTCCTCTGCTGGTCTGATCCGAGTCAGGGGCTCCACATTAGCATTTTCAACGCAACCTTTTTATGCATTGCAAATTAAACATGCAGGCAGTCCAAAGGCTTACAGCCCCCACCTCCTAATCTAAGGCCCTAATCTGGATCAAGCCCCCACACCAATTGTAAAAAAAACAACCCATGCACACTCCAAAAACAAGACAAAATACCTTGCACACAGAGGTAGAGCTGTGAGACTAATATCATGTGCAGCTTAGCCTTAAAGCACCCAGTTGCAGTGGCACTTCGTTTCCCAGCTGAAGGAGGAGAAGACACCTGCCGTGAGACGAGGGGGGCGGGAATGGTATATTCCAGCTTGATTCACCAATATGTGATAGTCATTAATATCCAAAGTTGCATTGCTGTGAACCACCCTTCTGTATTGCATCCATCTTCAACCAGAGGGAGCCTCGTGAGTGCTATCGGCCCCAAATAGCTTGTACAAAGGTTCAAAATTTTGGAGCTAATTACCAGTAACAGCATCCATCGTTCAGATGAGCATTATTCAGATCAAGCAGCCTCAAATGAGACTGTGGTTGGGTTAGCCCAGTAGGGAAAGTATTGCTGTTTAAAAGCCTGGGAGGGAGGGAGGGAGGGAGGGAGGGTGAGAGGGTGAGAATGAATTATCAGTGACCTGTTGCGCTGTCCCCCATTATGGCTGCTTACCAGCTGTTTACTAGCTTTCTTTTTCTCTTCTAGGAAAAAGGCAGTTCTCGCAGCGGAAGAAGCGTTGTCATTTAGTCTTTTCTTCCTGCTATTGTAAAAAAAAAGTCTGCAAATCAAAACAGTCATTAGCTGTTCAGTGTAGCAGCCAACGAGAGGAATCTGTTTCATCTCAACCACCTTCAGCCTGGATTTCCTCATCTTGGACACTTTGATTTCCAATGCAGCGGTTCATGAAAAAGCATCGTTTTGCTGATAAAGCAGGAATGAGATGGAACTGCTTTTCAACAACATCTAGTTCCCAACATCCCTGCTCTAGGGTTTGCTAGACGGTTGGCTTTTAAAAACACACTTTGTACAGGAATAATTTGTACAAGATTAATTGCTTAATTTTTGTACAAATCTTGCAACTGCATACCCAATATACCTAAGGTTAATACATGTTGAAATTAACTGATTGCCAATTGCCTGACTCAGAGCCTGACGAAAGTAGCCTTGGATTGCATCAGACTTTGCAATTTGATATTTACATGAACCGGTTACTGAATGAACTGTACAAGACAGCTCAGTTGCTGAGCACTGTGAGCAAACAGAAATTAACCAAGATAAACATTCTGAGGATTTGGTATTGTAATTCAGGTGACTCACAACTTACATGCATTTAACTTAAGCACATTCAGCTTTACACGGTTGGCAATTATTATTATTATTAATAATAATAACAACAACAACAACAACAACAAAAGGGGGGCGGGCGTCCAGGAAAAAAGACTTTGGCAATCCCACCTGGAATTGAACCCAACACGTTTTGGCAATATGTGATTTTAGCTTTACACGCTATCCCTGGAACATAACCCCCGTGTAAGTTGATCACCAGACCTGTACATTGATCACCAGACCTAAGGCCTGGTTCATAGATGCACTTTCATCACTTGATGGCCAACAGATGAACAGACGAACATTGACTTGTGTTCAAGGAGACTTGTGTGAGCCATGAGACATTTTTGATGGCACAAGGCAGCCCTGCCAAGTTCTTAGGATTTTCTTGTCCTGCTGCAGGCCCCCGTTCCCGCATCTCACAGCATGCTAAACTAGCAATCTTCCACCCTCTCTGGAGTGGCTTAGGGAGGGAGACGTAGAGGGGGAGCCAAGAGAGCTCCATTGTACCAATGGCATCCCACTATTTCTCCTCTGGATCCATCCCATTGAGTTTGGCTTAAGGAAAAATGAAAGTTCTGTTCTAGAGCCAGACTGCAGTGTTGGACCTAATACCATGGAGACCCAGGTTCAAATTTCTACTTGGCCCCAACACCTAAACCACCTTTGGCCACTCACTTCCTCTCAGACTAACCCTTCTCACAGAGACAGAAGGGGTATTATAAAGTATGCTGCTCTGAGCTCCTTAGACGAAAGATGGGATACTAAAATACGTGTGGTATCATTCAACAACACAGGTTATATGACATGGGGAACAGGCTCAAATCAAAGTAGATAAATGTGATGTTTTATTTAAAAAGACTTCATAAGGAACCCTTCTTTGTAGAAGCTTCCTCTTTTCAGATGATGTATAGCAGAATGAAAGGTGCCTATAGCAGATATTTACAGATACCAGATCGCACCCAAATGGAGACTGAAGGTTATCCATTGCGTAATCATTTGATTTTTTTAATCACAGACAATAAATGTGCACCCAGATAACTGGTGTGCCACGAAGTGTAAAAAGTAGCTAACAAAAATGTTGGTTCTGTTTATCATTTAACTTCTGTAAAGTACATTTACCTCTTTTCTGAAATGTAATTGCATCTTCTACACTGTACTAAATGTGAAATAGATTGTTAGAGACTATCAATTATATGTAGATTTAACAAGAGAAAACCTAGTCAGTGGTTGGTACAATGTCTGTATTTTCCTTTCCTTTTCTGTTTTTAAAAATATATCCTGGTGGGGTTTTTTTTGGGGGGGGGTTGGAGTTGGGGGATTATTACACAATAGTTTTTTCTTTCTTTTTCATCACTTGAGCCAGTGATATGTCACCTCATGATATGTCTGGGCTTCTAGGAAGAAGGAACCAGAAATCCACAAGGCCCAGTGCTAGCACCTGGCAACTTGAAGCAGTTGTTGGGACCCCAGTGGCTGACAGGCCTCCCCCATGCCTGCTATTTGCGTCTCTGAGCCACCATTTAAATTTTTATATTTTTAAGAAACAAAATTTGAATTCCATTTAAAAGCTTTGGTGTTACTGATTTTTAAATGTCAAATAACAGCAAAAACTACAAAAACAAATAAACAACAACCAAAAAGGAATACAGGGTATTGACAAAAGAAATAAAAAATCAGTTAAGTGTTTTACAGCAAATATAAATTCATAGGGGCTGCCCCGCTTTTCACTGCACTTGCCATCCTCACATACCCCTTTGCCAACCGCCCTTCCCTCACACCTGATCAACCCTTTCCCTTTACATTTTACCCATCCCCTCACCTATTCCCCACAACTTGACCTAGCTCCTTCCCCAAGCCCCACTTGCTTTTAAAGGAGGGGAAAGTAGCATGCTGCAAAATGTATTTGGAGGGCTCCGTCAGGCCCCCAAACTTAGAGATAACGACCCCTAGAGTAAAGGGTTAACTAAAAAGGTTTACCATGTGATTCATCAGATTGTTTTCCTTGGGACCCCACACTTCCGAACCTATCTATTGCAAAAGAGCAGATGTGGAGCAAGCAGAGACCTATGACCCCTTAAATGCATCTGTATGAGACCAGTGAGTCTGCTTTGCTTTCAGAGGTGACATCAGCCGCTGCCAATAAGAAAGGTAAGTGAAAAAAGACCTATCTGTGTGTATAATGCAGATCAGTTAGGGGAGATATTGAACATGATACATTTCAAGAAATTTGAATGTGGAGTGCACCATCTTGTACTGTTTTTTATTCAACAATATGTATTGGGTGGGCTGTGGGGATATTCTCCAGTACAGGGGAACCTCAGTTTTTGGACATGTCGGCTGCCGAATGTTTCGGAAGCCAAATGCTGAAAATCCGGAAGTGAATGCTTGTGTTTTCAAACACGCCTTGGAAGTCAGACGGTTTCGGAGGTGTGTTTCTCAATTTTCACCATAGACTTTGCCGCAAGCCCTTTGATCCTCAGTTTTCGAACGTTTCGGAAGTTGAACGGTCTTCCGGAACCGATTACTTTCAGAAACCGAGGTTCCACTGTATTTGTTACAACTTTTGTGCTAGTACAGTACATACAGTAAGTATATACTTGTTGGCCACTGATTTGCGATTTTGTTAGGCAGGTGATTTTATTACTGATTTCAGGCTGTTTGTCACCATGTTTTTTTTCTTTTTTTAAAAATGATGGTGGTATAGAAAAATAATAACATAAATAATAAGAACTTGCACAAACAGATCCTGTGAACGGCTGCTGCAGAAGGCAAAAAGCAAATAGAAATTTGTAGCTGATTTCAGCAGTGCTATGTGTATTTGGTTATTGGTCTCTATTCAAGTGTGGCAGTAGTGTCGCATTTTCCTTACAAAATACTGACAGAGTGCTTTCTTTGCAGCACTCTGTACAACTGTAGCATCAGAGTCTTCTGAAACAGTGACCTGGATCATGCTTCAGTATAAAGCTTGGGCTGTCGCTCTGATCCTTCTCCTTGCAAATACCCTTACTGGTAAGATCTAAAGTGCTTTGATCTGGCTTCAGATATGCTTTGCTTGCTGAATATAGGTTCCTGCTATCACCATACCCGGTTATACTGTTGAACTAAACAGGAGTCAAAAAGTCATTGGGAAAGGGGGGGATAATCTAGAGTTCTTAGTGTATTCTACAGCTCAAAGTCAAATAATTGCAACTCCAAATACTCCACTGTCCTTAGACATTGGAGAGAGTATTTATTATTTAATCTGTCAAATGATTAATTACTTTAAAAATGTTCATCCAGTAGGCTGATTCATTTAGGTACTGAAAGGGCCATGTTGCATTTCTTTTCATCAGATATTGTGCATTTGATGAATGCTGTATCTTGCCATCCTATACAAGATGAAACCCTAGTTCCAGGGTTTTGCTTATGTGGAGGTTTTCTCATAGACTGACAGACACGCCCAGTTGATTGGGGCAACTGGTTTGAGTACAATCTTTAACTCACAGCTAATAAATTAACGCTCATGGCTTTAAATTCTCACCCCCACCCTTTGCTCAGAAACAAATTCTGCATAATAGCAGATTCAGAAATGTCGTAGTACAAGGGATCTATCATTCCTCCTGCCTATGCTATTTACAGATCTTGACAATGCTGTGTAAACATGTCTGTGTACACACACACACACACACACACACACACACACACACATACCCAATATATGTGCCTTGCTTCTGAAGTTCTTAGGCAATACCTGTATCCAGCTGGACACTAAATTACAGAAGAGAATTTAAATTCATTTCCCCCTCCCCTCCCCTCTCTAGAAGCTGATGCTAAAGCCATCTCAAAGAGGCATGTCCGTAATGATTGGATGGTCATACCTGACGCAATTGCATTTTATGTGTTTGATGCTGTGAACAAAGTGTCTCCTAAAACTGCTGAGTCCTTGTATGGTGCTTTCCAGAATCCAATCATTCTTGAGACAAGGTATGTATGGTGATGATGACACATTTTTGTCATTGGTGGTGGTGGTTCAGTTGTGGAGGTTCAAGCTACAGGAACAAGATTATAGAAATAAACCAGTTTTACAGAGAAAATATGTACTTGGGATATATGTCTCCGCCACTAAAGTGTGGACAACGTGTGTTTATACTGGACTGGTTTACAAAAAAATGCTATATGTGTGAACTTTTCTCTTTCAGCATTGCACTGCTTTTGGCTAAGAGTATTGGCAAACTCCAGTGGGTGGTACAAAAAAAAGGTTTATTCGGCTTTACGCCCATCATGAAACACAACACAACAAAACAAATCAAAACAAATAAAATCAAATAAAACAGCAGACTCGTACAAGCCACAAGTAGTATAACACAGTTCTCAACTCAGAAGGACAGATATTAGCCATTCATAGAAAAGTTTAAGATTAAGATTAAAAAAAATAAAAATTTAGGCACTACACTAAAATCAATATCTGATGTAATTATAGAAAATTCTTATAACTATCAATAATCAGCTAACATTCCATTCCGTCTCTTGTACGAGAGGACGGCTGTTAGGAATTTAGCAACCTGTAGGGTAATATAAGGATCCACATCTTGAAGAACCCAGGCCAGCTGTGGGTCTACTGATTTGTCAGCCATAGGCTGGATTATGGAGTTTAGTATACTAGCACGGGCTGAACTGTACAAAGGGCAGATAAACATAACATGATGTAGAGATTCAGATGTTTTCATTTCACACGCACACATTGGAGGGACTTGGCCCTTAGTGAATCTATGTCTCAGCACGTTTGTTGGAAAGACATTAAACCTAGCTCTAATGAAGGCATATCGGTGAGACGCGGCCGTAAGCGATGTTAAGTAGGACGGAGCGCGGTAGATAGGGGTTATGCCGAAATTTAACGGCGAGCAGATTCCACCACCAGCTACGAAATTTTGGTATAGCTCCACATCATCCAGCCTTTGATTTATACACCTTTTTGCCACATTTAGATCCAGTTTGAGCAATTCAGTGGGCGAGATCTCATAGGACAGCAATTTGGCATGGATTTTTCCTGACCACAAATTGGTGAAGTCATCTCGCCACATGCATTGAATGAGATAGTGGTTCGGGAGTTTATGCCATAGGGATATCCAATAAATAAAAACTCTCCTCCATATAACTAACTCCACTGAGGGGATCTTCATTTCTAAGCGGATAGCCGCATTACTTACGCATGTTGGTAATTTTAGAAGTCGGCGTAAGAATTGGCTTTGAAGTGACTCTAAAGGTGAGAGATTTGCAAAGGCAGCCAATAAAGGTGCAGCATAGGCCATTGTGGCCATCACTTTGATGCTATACACTTTCAAGGCCGCAGGGATGAATAAGGCCCCCTCAGAGTAGAAAAAACGGAGGAGGGAGTGTGATAGGGCTTTTGTCTTGTTTTGAAGATATTCAACGTGCGCTTTCCACCCTAAATTATATTGAAAATAAATTCCTAAATATTTAAATTTATGTACTTGTTCGATTTTCGTGCCCTCCAGTTTCCATGAATAAAGTTTTCGACTCCTTGAAAATATCAGTACTTTGGACTTGGAATGGTTGATAGTCAGATGATTAGAATGGCAATATGTCACAAAAATCTTTAGTGCCCTCCTTAAACCCACTCTGGAGTAAGAGAGTAGTACCGCATCATCTGCGTAGAGAAGTAAAGGACAGCGGTAATCTGCTATACGAGGGGAGTGGATAAATTTTTGTGAGTCGGCTAATGGGTTCCTCATATCGCTGATAAATAAATTAAAAAGAAGAGGCGCTAAAATACAACCCTGGCGTACACCCTTATTTACTGGCACTGGGTTAGTCAGATCTCCAGCAGGGGATAATCTCACCCTGGCCACGGACCCGGCATGAAGTTGGGAGATAAGTCACAATAGCCTTCTATCTATTCCCCAACAGGCAAGTTTATCCCATAGCAATTTCCTCGGAATACTATCAAACGCAGCTTTCAGATCTATGAAAGCTGCGCAGAGTTGGCCCCGTCGAGGTGTCGAGTATTTCCGGGCTAAGTGATAAAGAATAATTGCCTGGTCTGTTGTGGATCGGTTTAATCTAAATCCTGCTTGCTCATGTCCAATCAGGTCAGCCTCAACTGACCACTTCATCAGCCTTGCCAGCAAAAAACGGGCATATATTTTCCCAATGGACGATAGCAGACTGATATTCCGATAATTCCATGGGTCACCGGGAGGGCCTTTTTTGTAGATAGGAATTATAATGGCCTCCTTCCACATTCCTGGTATTAAGCCCGTGGCATTTATTGCGTCGAACGTTTTAGCTAAAATCCCTGCCCACCATGCAGAATGAAGCTTTATAGCCTCAACAGGGACCAAATCTGGCCCAGGGGCCTTACCAGTTTTCAGCTCAGCTATCAATTCTAGGATTTCAGCAGGGTTGGTATTAGGCCAGACGGGAAGGGGATTAGAAGGTCTCCAATGAGTGGCCGGAGCTTCTGCCACTGAGAAATATTTTCTCAGGAACTGCTCCCATGTAGGGGCTGGGATCATCGTTAAGGGATATTTCGTGGTTCTTCCCTTTATTAAGGACCAAAATTTCCGGGAATTATGAGCTTTTGAGGCAGAAATTATAGTCTGCCAACGATTTAAGTGCCACTCCCGTTTGGCCGATTTCTGGGCCTGTTTGTATGCTTTTTTAGCCAGGGAATAAGATGGAGGTAAGGCCGGAGCACCGGAAAGTTTATAGTCATTATATATTGTATGTAGATGGAGTCTGGCTTGTTTGCAAGCAGAGTTGAACCAAGGGGCGCCAAATTTAAAATAATCGTTTTTAGCTCCATAGGTTGTAGAAGTAAAAAAGTGAGTTAAAACTTCTATCAGGCAATAAAAACAATTCATACAGGTAATAGGATCGCGCGAGACTATTCCTACGTCCATCTGATCGCCAGGAAACTTTTCTCGGATAAAATCCTTATATCTATGAGCGAGGGCAGGGGACGATTTAGTCCCCTTTATTTTAGTGGACGACTCCACAATCACTGGGATTGGGTGGGAGCGGTCGAGCAACTGCCAGTCAACACATAACTTGGTTGTCAGGGGAAGATGGTCACTAAATTGGGCATTATCAATTTTAAAAGAGGTGACATTCAAAAATAGATCCCGGGAAACCAATACATAGTCGAGAACACTGTTTGATTTTAACCCCAGGTGGGTGAATTCTCCTGGTATGTCTGGAGGACACCTGCCATTTAATATGATTAAATTAAGGCGTAGAGTCATCTGATAGAGCATCACTCCCGCCTTATTGACTTTTACATCCTTTGATATTCTAGTGGGGGTGTATACTAGATCGTAGGTTTGAACGCCGGGGTCAACCCACCACTTAGACTTTTTAAGAGCCTCCCGATTTGATGCTATCCGAGCGTTAAAATCGCCTCCAGTAATGGAGGGGACATTGGGATACTTAAGATAACAAGAAAGTAAAAAATCCTCTAGGGATTCCCATCTAGAAGTAAGATCAGCTGCTAACCCTCCCGGAGGGAAATAGACATTTGTAACCAATAAAGTGAAGTATAATTGGTAGCATATTGGCAGAGATGGGATTCACCCGCTGTGTGTTTGGCCAGCCTGAGAGGCCAGGTACAACCTAGAACCTGCAAAGCACTTGAAAGTAGGGATGGGGGACAAATTCAATTCAGTTTAAATTTAAAGCCAAACCTATCAAATCCACACTTTCCAGAACAGTGCAGTATGCAAACCTTCAAAATTCCCATTTTGCCATTCTCCAACCAACCAGTGCCTACAAAAATGCATATCTCAGGGGAAAGTGTGCATAAGAATGAAGGTGTTAGTGAAAATAACATACCAAAAATGTGTTATATTAGGGGCAATTGCTTCCAAAAATGTGTGCATTAGTCAAAACTACACATAAAAAATGTATGTGTTGGGCTAAATTTTCACTAAATTGCCAGTGAATGTTCATTAGTTATTTTTTTAAAAATTGCTGCAGAAATGTGGAGAACTGAATTTAAGATTGGAAAAATGAGAAGTTGAGACAACTGCAGTTAGCAGGTCCTTCCATCCATACCAGAATGGGTTTCATATGAATGCCTGCTACCTTCTCCCACCCCCCACCCCATCTTAAGGCTGCTACCAGATGCAGACAAGGATGGCTCAAACAACAGCCTCCTCCCTTGCATTTTGTTCCAGCCTGGTGAAGAGTTATAGTGAACATAAAAGCTTATTGTGGCATTCTGGTTGGCTTAATAAAGGATAAGAGCTGTAGAATTCCCTGGGAGCTCTGAAGAACATGGATGGCCCTCTATAAACCGAATGAGGGAGCAATATATTTTGGGAGGGTTCAGGTTGCGAAGCTTCCACCCATGCCCAGCCTATATATGTGTGAGCCATAAGCCCTGCATCGCAAAAATGCCACAAGCCTCCAGTGTCTTCCTCCCAAAGGAAACAGATTTAGGGTACGCGGTGAATCCCTGGAGTTCTCAACACTCAGAAAAACGAGGAAAGCATAAAAATACTGTGTGTGAAATGTCGTCTAGCATCTCATCATTACAGGCTTCTATTTCCTTGCAGGAACTTCTTGATAAAGACAACAACTGAAATCAATCGAGCATTTCAACAACTGCTGGAGAATATACATGGTTTATGGACAAAGGAAGAAGCAGAACCAGCACAGCACTAGGACCTAAACGAATCTGTGGAGTGGAGTGGCCTCTTCCTTGTATTCATCAGTGGATCATAATGTGCAGAGGGTTATCTTGGTATAGTTTTTATTATTATTATTTCATTTTATAATGTATATAAAACAGACAACAATTATAACAACCAACAAAAAATTAAAGATGAGAAACAAAACTATAAAATAGGCATATGGAATGAGTAATTGGACATGAGTTAAATTAACAAAGTCCAAGTAAAGACTATCAAATTTACCAGATCATTAAGTTCAGTTTCAGATTTGCCAGGCTTGTGATGAAGGTTATCTTGAAAATGATGGCTCCACTGTATATGTCATAAAGGAATGCCAAATCATATAAAAAGTTTCTGGAGGTTCTAGCACTCATCGAAATCTCCAATTATGCTTGATTTTCTCCTTTATAGCTATATTCTAGAGTGAATGGTACCAAGCGTCTAGTGTAAGAATTTGGGCTGTTTTCCACTGAATTGCAATTATTGTTTGTGCTGCCAAGATCTTATATAAGACCAGTTCTTTTGGCGATATATTTACATTGGTATCATCAAAAAATATTCAGTCACATGATTTCCAGTGCCTCACAAAGCATCACAAGTCACGTCCAAGGCTTTGTGGGGCCTTGGAGGTGGAGTTTGAGGTCTCACAGGGCCTTGGACATGACTTCCGTGGTTCCCAGACACTGCTGTGGAGCTCACAATGTGATGTCACGGCTCAATGTGAGGTCAGTATGTCACATTATGTCGTAGACCACTAGGCACCCATAATCTGGGGCCCAAGTTGGCACCCCTGGATCCAACAGAAGTCAAGCATGGCTCTCTCTCTCTTCCCAGCCTGCTTCCAACTTCTAACTTTTAGCTCGCATAACCCAACTCTCACTCCTACCCTTTGTCTTTCTAAATACCAGCAAGTTGGGGGAGAGGGTCCTACCCATTTGTCATCTCGCATAGAGCCACTTCCTTTGTTACCTTAATGACCCATACTTCAACAATTACCTCATCAGGAAGTTAGCCTGGCTTTTCCAGGAATTGAAATTGGATCCAGGAATTTGAAAGGCGCTCAAGCATACAGCCTATGTCTCCTAAACTCAGAACAGTACAATTTAGAAACAAATTCATTTCCCTCTCTACCTGTTGTGTTTAATAAATTGTATTAAGGGTCTCAGAGCTTGTGTTTTTACATGTTCTTTTATAATAAAACTATAAATTTGATGGAAATAAATCCAGTTTGTGTTAAGATTTGAAGTTAATTTTATTTGGTTACTGGCTACAGGCTATAGATAATTGGTACAGAAATCTCGTAATGTGTATACAAGATTTGCAGTATTCAAATTGCTTATCTCTCCCTTGCTGGGAAAAAAAATCTGGGTGAGTTGATATTGGAATTAATGGAAAAACAATAGGTGCAAATTTAGATTGCCATGTTTTCCATATCTGAATAGTACAATTAGTAAATGGATTTGGTATAGAGTTCATTAGATCTGGTTTAAGATTCTCCTAGCAAGAGATGTTTAGAGAGTTTGATTTCCCAGTGTTTATTCAGTTCCTCTTTGATTATATTAATAACTGTCTCAGTTGAAATGCAGAGTAGTAGAAATATAAATTAGGTATACCCCATCCATCGAACTGAGCTCTGCGAAATAAAAAGTATTGAGTTAGTCTAGGGTTTTTTCTTTTGCAAAATAAAATTATTATTTTAAGTTGGTATGTTTTCTCATGCTGCCACCAGAGGGAGAAAGTAGCCATTCTTCAGCAATGACAGGTTATGAAGTCTTTCCACAAGTCAACGATCACTTCATGAATCATTGCAAGTAGCACAGCATATGTGTAGCTCCAAACTCTTTGGAAGAAGAGTGTGTTTTTAAAAATTAAGTAAATAAATTGAATGCCTCCACATAATAAAATGTTATATATGACTCACAATTATTAGGAGCCACTAGATTCAGCAGAGAATTTAGCAGTTTCCAGCATCTCCTGCAACAGCTTCCTTTGTGAAATGTGCTGCATGGCTGTAGAAAAACCAAATTAATAATGGATACAATGTCACTTACATCTGTATACAAGGACCTATATTTTGGTCCTGTGGGGCAAACCCTCTTCTGGATACAGCCCACAATCAGTCAGAAATGTGACTGAAAATTTGCCTTGGGGAACTCTTTTCAGTGAAACATTTCTTTGAGATTTCCTTAAACTATAAAATGACTTTGCCTCAGGTGTGCTTTTTTTGGTACTTGAAGGATTAGTGCACAGCATTTTTGTTAGTTTAAAATCTGTGGTAGATTCACCTTATAATCTATTTGCATGAGTCACAGCATATTTCTTTGACAGTAAAGGGAAAAGGACAGTTTTGGGCAGTGGCGTAACATGGGTTGTCAGCACCCGGGGCAAGGCAAGTAATTTGCGCCCCCTAACCCGTGGATTTGCCCTAACCCCAGATGTTGCGCCCGGTGCGGCTGGCCCTCCCCTGCACCCCCCACGCTACGCCACTGGTTTTGGGTAACTCCTTCTGGTGTATTGTCATCAGTACAGCTACTGTATGAAACAAGTGAATTTTACATTCAGCAGGTTAAGCCAATTCAGTATTGGAAAGTTTTGGATATATTATTTTGCAAGATGGATGCAAATGCTGGTCTGCGTCGGTCTTTGTGTGAGGAAACTGCATGTGGAAAGAGAGATTCACTGTTCTGATCCTTTTCAGATCCCAGGAAATTCTCACCATTATGAATGTTACCCGCACTATCTAGATCCATTTGCTTCATCAAGTACATCTTCATCAAGTACACCACTGGTACAAGTTTTGCTCACTTCATAGAGGGATTTACCTTCCTTTCTGTGTGTTGATATGTATTGCTTTGGTACGGGACTTCTGGGGAAGTATAGGAATGGTGCCATACATCAGGAAAGGAGCTCTATGACAGTTAGCAAGCCCCCTCCACTTTTCAATTTTCACTCTCCTGAAAATTAAGCTGAAATATGCCCCACCTTTTGCCACCTGTAAATGAGGTTGTGAAATAGGGAAGGTTTGGCTCAGTCCTAGTATTACCCTGGGCATCAAAAGAGTTTGAAGAATGTAGAGACACTCAGCAAATCTGCCAGGTCACTGCCAGAAACAGTTTTCTAGAACAGCGGTAGTGTCCACTGGGCCAGTTTCTTCAATGACAGGTGACTCTAGACCAGCAGATGCATTCCTAATCTCACATTTGCCTGTGAAATGTTAGAGTAATACAGCAACACTGCCATCTTTGAATCTTGAAAGTTTTGCAGCAGCACAAATGACCGTAGCAATATTATTTTAAAATACTACTTTTCAGTGTACTGTTCACATGTAGTTCACTTGTCATGATGAAAAGGAAAATATTGCACAAGAGGCTTCTCACTAAAAAAAAAATCCTTTGAAAACAATTAGGGATAAACCCCAACATTTTTTCTGGTCCCCCCCTTTTTTTTCTTTGGGAAAGGGGTGTTTTTCCAGTGTTTATTATTATGTGGCATCACTAACCTGCATCATGTAAGCCTTAGGAATTGGATCACTGCATACCTCACCCATTACATTGCCTCTTAAGAAAAGGTCATTCTCTAGTATTATTTGCAGTGTGGCAGTCAAAACACTCCACAAACAGGAATTGTCTATACGGTGTACACGCTTCCTTCAGAATATTGTACAGAAGTAACTACCTTGATTTAATCTGTCTTAGTCTTAAGAAGGACTGAATTATGATACACCGTAAAGTATAAGAAGACAGATTTCACAAATGGAGTAAGTAGTTTAGGGGGAGATACTGCACTGTATATATGTACTTTTAAAAACTTGTCTGTAGATTGGCATTTGCTATTTTAGACTTCTGATTTTCCGCTAATGTCCTTATTAAACGGCAAACTACCGGTATGTTTCTTGGTGATATACCAAACTCTGGCTGCCCTGTGGCTACAACATTCACGTTCACACATGTGCAAATTTGCCCATAAATAGAATCCAATTTAGCAGGCTTCAGTTTGTGGTTGAAGACGTTCACCACATTCAAAAGGCAAAACATCAGTTACTTCCACTCTGACAGCAACATTGAGAGTATTAATCTGTTTGTTTCACCAAGTTGTTTTCCTTAGTAACATATTTGACAGTTTAAATATATGTGTGTAAAGCCACTATCACTTGCCAGAAAGTAAGTACCCTTGATCTTAATTGCTCACAATATTTGTGTATGTGTGTGCTGGAATTCTTTCTCAGCAATTAGTCTGAGCAATATCATTATCAAGATGAAGAAAAGTGACACGTCTAGCATGTTTTCACAACCATACATTAACCAAGAGCAACCACACATGGCATAAACATCAGGGAAGAACTTCGTCAGTTTGGGAACCCATGATCTACATGTATTTTGCCATCACTTATCTCTACCCTGTTTTACCCTACAAAGGAATGCTTAACAAGCTAGAGGTTAAAATATAGGAAGCTACTTTATACCACATCAAATCATTAGTCCAGGCTTCCTCAACCTCGGCCCTCCAGATGTTTATGGCCTACAACTCCCATGACCCCTAGCTAGCAGGACCAGTGGTCAGGGATGCTGGGAATTGTAGCCCACCTGGAGGGGCGAGGTTGAGGAAGCCTGGACTAATGGTCATTCCCCTGGACTAATCTAGCCCAGTATTTACACTAACTGGTAGCAATACTCCCAAGGTTTCAGAGAAGAATCTTCATCAGCCCTACTATGGATTCCAAGGATTGAACCCAGGAACCCATTTCCCACAGAAAATATGTATCCTATCACTGAGCCACAGTCTTTCCTTTATTTAAAATATTATGTCTCATCTCTTAATCATAAGGATTCCTGAGACAGCAAACTGGATAAAGCCACCACATTAAAATCACTAAAAAAAAATGTATGCAGATTAAAATACCCCAAAAAATTAAACAATAGCTGTAGCACCAAACTGTATTAAAGCCTGGATGGGGGTAGAAGGAGCAGCATCTTTAGTTTATTTCTAAAATCCACAGGGAGTCTGGTAAGAGGCGCATTTAGGGGAGTGCGGCCAGTTCGTTCACACTGGGCACTGAGCCACAACAAAGACTTAGAACAGAAGGTGAGAGTCGGGGGTGAGCACTGAATTTTGGCGTCACATAAGGTGCCACTGAAATTTGAAAGCCCAAAGTCTGCCACTGATCTGGTAGAACATTCCAGAGGCCAGTTTCAGAGGCAAGGGGCCACAATAGACAAGGCACTGTTACTAGTTGCTGCACACCTCACCTTAGAAGGTGAGGGAAATCTGAGAAGGTCCTTTGAAGAAGATTATTAAAGATCAGGCTATCTTCAGATAGCCTGGTTCAAAGCCATTTAAGACTTTAATGTTCAAATTCAGGACAATTGGACCCAGTAACAAAATAGTAGCTGGTTGAGAGTCTGGTCTGACCTTAAACATTGGTAAGATCTAGATACAAATTCAAATTCGAGTCTTCTGAATGCCTACGGTATGTAGCAAAAACTGCATCATCCACAAAGAAGGGATGTATCTGCAGACACGGATTACTCTTAGGTACGGGGGGGGGGTGGATTAAAAGGAAGGAACCCCCAATCAGGTCTGTCAAAATTCAATGGCACAGAATGTTGAGAAGAGTAACAGGGTAAAAACCTGGGTGGGAAAGATGTCTCCTAATGTCAGTTGCTGAGAATCACAGTTGGTGGGGTATGGTTGAACCCAGGTCTTTCTTGTGGTCTTGCCTCATTGACATCTGTTTGGACAGTATAACAACAGGATACTGCACTAGAGGGGCCCAATCTATGTTCTTAGTAAGGAGTGGCTAGAGCAGAACACACAGAGATGAAGAGCCATATCATTCGTAGGTGATTTCCTGGTTCACACCGTGAAGTACTGTATGTTCTCAGTAGAGAAATTAAAGAACTGAATGTGGCTGGGATTGGTCACAAATGTATCTACCCTACACGCATGAACCCCAAATACAGAGGGAAAGAAGAAAACCGGCCAATGAGGACTGAGAATGTTCAGTGCAAATGGAATATTTGACTGGTTTGGGAGAGGAGGAAAATCAGGCTGTGTATACATTACCATTTATTCCACTCCAGTGCATGCCCACTGCTGGTGTTTGAAGAGGGCTGCACATCATGTAGGCCACAATCCATATGTATCCTGCAATTTATTAAGAAATACTGCTGTTTGATATACTTTCTCTCAATCCAGCATCTATCTGATTTGAAAATAGAAGCTATAATTAAGCTGTAGTTTGTATGTTTTAGACAGCCATTGTACATGCTCAGATGAGAGCTTCAGTGAATTGGAGTTTGATGTGGGGAAACAATCTGGTAATGGGCACCAGCTGATGTTTGTTGAAGGTTGCTGGGAATTGTAAATCTATGAGGGATAAACTACAGTGCCCCAGAATTCTTTGACGGAAACAATGTGCTTTGAAGATATAGTGTGTGCACAACCTTGTTGGTAGCATAATTTAACAGTAGTTTTCATCCAGATCCAACCCATTTTCTATGCAGGAAGCACTGCTTGAGGAAAAATCTGGCACAATATTGTATGGTGATTTTTTTTCACTGTCTCCTGTGTGAAAGCTGGGTCTGCCAGTTAATGTTGCCTGTGTTCCAGATACTGGTGCTGCTTATTCAGTGTTTGTGAGATCTGTAAAAGACGCGACC